TCATTAATTTTAAGATTGTTCCCCGATAAATATATTAAATAATTCAGATTTTTTTCTGATGATGCGCCTGTTTGCTAGTTTTCAAACACAGTGGATGTGACATAATGGACGTGTTGGCTTCCTCGTGTTGCTGTAAAAACAAACACTAGAAATGCATATTGTCAATGCCATTTCCAATGAAATTGTCAGTTTTACAGATCAACAGAGTGTTTAACATACCATCACTCATTTTTTTTAACCTAGGCTACAGATCATGTTGCTGATCAATGCCTAATATGTTTGGTTTGGGAAAGTTTATCCTCATTGATGCACGAAACTTGCAAGTTATGAGTCAGTGTTATCTGCTACTAGCCTTACGAGTCCTGTACATTCAGAGAGTTACGTGTGGCTCTCCTGCAGCAGGAAGAATTTTACCGACTGAGTGAACAGCAGATAGGCAGCAGCGTTTTATAGATTTAGACACGGCCCTGCCTCTCCAGCTGAGGATGCAAAGAAATGACCTCACTTATCAGCCTCTAACTGAGCTATTCAAATCATATTCAAAGATGTGGTTTAAGACTGCACAGTGCAGTAAGAGCAGAGAGACACTGACTAAATGTGCCAGCAGTATCAAGCTATGGCAGCTCTCAGCCATGACCGTACACATTATTCACAGCTGCAAATGGTGCCAACATTAATAGGGGTGAGTCGGACTCCACCGACAGGCAGCCGAAGTCCAGCTGAGGGCCCCACAAAGAGCTCAAAATTGGGCATCACTCATCGAAACAATTTTAAACTCAACACTGTGCTTCCTCTAAGTTTAAAGTAGAGCAGATGAATGGTTTTCGAGAAAGCCAAGAAGAGGCAGGCACACAGACTGAGAGATCATTGATTAGTGAGATAACATGTAGGACTAGTTCATTCATTTTCAGCTGCATTGATGTTTCTGTCTAAGGCTGTATATGTGAAGCGTTGTGTAAGAGTGCTATGCTGGTTTTGCACAACAGGAAGCTTAGTAAACTTTGCTTAACTTGAAATAGTTAACAAACAATAGTGAAAGAATAATTAAAAGTTACAAAACACCGTCCAGAGTTACCAGGAATTTGTTTCTAGCACAACACATTATTGAAGATTTTTTTTTTTAATGATGTTAGTCCTGCAAGCAAAATTCCACGTATCTACATTTTGTGAAGGTGGTAGCAGAAATTTCAGAGACAGACATACTTAAACCCAGACATATTAAACCAAACCACAAGTTGATGTGTTGGAAGCAGCTGTTGGTCACGTTCCTCGAGCATTTTCTAAGCAGTTCTTGCAGTCTGGCAGGGCACATTGTCCTGCTGGGGGGAGGCTCCTGGTCTCTAGGGGTGCTGTTTGCCATGGAGGGAGGGGGGCTTTGCTCGGTCCACATCAGTGTTTAGGTGGGTGAATGCCAGCGCTGGAGATTTGTGAACTGACACTGTTATGAAATGGTCTCCATCATTCAGTCACCCTCAGGGGTTTAAATGGTTTAGTTGATTGGCATGTGTAGAGTATTTATTACACAGCCTTACAAAGGGTTACGCTGAAGTAATGTTTTGATAGTTCATTCAAGATCGTGCTTTACAATTAAGTAGTTTATTATTATTACTTGTGTGATGACATCTTTGTTGCAAAAATGACATTTTTCCTCATATAGGGATGAATCTTTATTACAGTGAGCAATTTGATTTGCCCGTCGAGGTGCTACGAAGCCCTGGCATTGTGTGTGTTGACTCAGTAATATTCCTCAATGATGGCTCAGTGGAGTGAGTCAATTTCGGTATTCGACTCAGCTGCAATTTTCCTGTAATGATAACTCAACAAAATGTTAAGTACTCATTGCAGCTAGGTGTCCAGCATGAGTCAGAATTTACAGGACAGGTGGGCCTTGGCCAGTAGATTTACAAACCCTGGCTGTGTTGAAATAAGTCAAGTGCTGGCTCACACTCAACAGTAATTCTCACGTCTATAAAACGCAACATAATATGAAATTGTTGGAAATCTTTCAAGTCACTATATATAAAGCAGATCTTAAATATTTATACAGTTGCCCATGTAAGGAGATTAACAGATGTTAAAAGGACTATCTCCCACACGGTTCTTTCAATACTGACACAAACCTACTCGAGGTAAATTATTTGATTTCAAATGTGTTAAAACAGAAATCGAGATAAACAAAAATTGTGTAACTGTCCAAACACTTACGTACTGCTCCGAGTTTGTACACTAAAATAATACCAGGACAGTGCATAGACGGTATAGTGCAGCATAAAGTGTATTAAATGGGAGTAATTGAAATAATCTGCTTCCTGCTCTTTACAATTACTGAGCTAAATGTGTAATAGTTGTGCTGTAATGACTACAGAGTTTGATGTTAAATGATTGGGTTGTCTTTTATATCTCATGTTCATATTTTCCATCGTATGTTTTGTTCTTATTTACCCATTATTTAATTGTACGAGCTGTGGAAAATCTCATTTAGCTAATGCAATAATTAACCTACACGATTCTCTCATCGCTTATCAGCTTTCCGTCGTAACCTTCCCCTCTGCCAAAAGCCTCTCTTCCCATGGAATTCCTCCCAGTTTATTTTCTTCTTCTTTTTTTTTTTCCATAACCCTAATTGCTCATCCCTGTCAGACAGATGTTTTCCCAGTGCCCCATTTTCTTTATTGGTCCTTGACCTCCTCTCTTCCTGTCCTCCATCTTCCATGCCCCATATTTCTGACAATGGCAGGGAATTACTTTATTTATTTATTTATTTAAGTGTATTATCAGTGTTATAGTACCTTAGGCCCTCTGTACCAGCTAACATATGCAGTCACTATACTATAGAGATTTGAGCATGTTTGTTTCTAGTTTGTAACTCAATTTAACCAAATTTAGCACCTGTGGTAATAATTATCTTTATTTGAAGCCACCACATAATGAATTTCACTTTCTAGATACTATTATGGGAGTGTTTTCTGTTTTTAAGAGACTGACTGTGATTGGCAATTTAGCCCCAAGAAATCACAGCATGAACATCTAAGTACAGCATAAAACAGAGCACTGCTGATTCAAAATTGTATCACCTTACGTTAAGTACGTTACTCCTTAGTTCAACAGTCGGTATTTCCTCCTGTGCTAAAATACCTGAAGAGATGTTTTGACAATTCTTCAGAGACTTTGTCTGCTTTTTTTGTTTGCCCCCGAGGGGTTGTGTTGTTTTACCTTTCTTTTTTATAACACCCTAAAGGTGTTCTGTTGGAACAAGTGAGGCAACATACTTGTCAAGGTTTTCTCTTTGTTCTGTAGAAACTCTTGTGTGATTTTTGAAAGTGCGCTTTGGATCTTTATCATGGTGCAATATTCCTTATCTGCTAAGCTTCTGCAGACTGGGAATCATCTCATCAGTCGGTTATGTTGGTATCTTAACTGACATTCATGGTGCCATCTTTAAAATGTCATCTCCCCAAACACATTTTGCCCTTATTCAGCCTTATATTATCACACTCCCACCTCTGTGCTTCACTGCTGGGACTGTGCATTCGCTGTGGCAGACCTTTCAAAGTTTACGCCAAACATGCTGGACTCCATCTAAGCTGAATTTATCTTGGTTTCATCTGACAAACGAATGAATCAGGTTTCTTTTTATGCATGGTGCAGACATACGAATAGACACAGGCCTGTAGGTCTAAAACAGAGCAAGTTGTGGTGTTTACAGGTCATTTATAAGATACTATCACTATTGAATTTTATTTCAATAATCCCATAACCTGTGTTAATGATCACATTTGTATTCACTTTTGTTGCATATAGATTCTACTCTAGGACCTTTATTTTATTTTTTTTCCGTATAGTCTTTCTAAAATATGAGTTTTTATTGTTAAGAGGAGAAAACGCTCTGCTTGACAATTTAGAAAAATTGCAGTTACTGTTAAGTGACACAGTTTAGAATTATTTCACATTTAAGTGATATTGTGCTCACTTGTGCTGTATTCTGCATGTGTACTTGGTCTGTCTGGTGCTGTGTGTTGACTTCTCTGCACACTTCATGTTTATTTTTAAGAGTTTAAAAGCATTGAACTGTCGTAATTAAACACGCCTATCTATATCTTTAACATGTTATACCAGCAATGACCGCACTGTGACCTGCAATATGTATCTTATACTATTATAGTGCCGGACCGAGCAAGTACAACAGAACGCTGAATGTCGTTTATTGATTAACCATCTCTTTGTTGTAAAAGTTTGCATATGTGAGATGAGGTGTGAACTGTTGGCAGGAGGTGTTGACTGACTGTAGATGGTATGTCAGAGTATCAACAGTGCAACTGTCCTTGTTAAGCCACTAAGGTTTTGTCTGATATTCTATTATCTATCCATTTGTTTGATAAATATGTTCAAAATAGCATGTCAGGTCAAGTGGTTAGGAAGCAATACAAATAAGGAACTATCCTCTGGAAAACATAAATATCCATAGCAAACGTGGCCAGTTGCCAGGTCAGGTCGGTCGGCTGTCTAACATTCATCCTTAAGTCTAGTGGGGAAGAAATGTTATCATTCCTGCCTTTAACGTTAATATGATACCGTATAAAGCAAATCTTCCACAAACCCAATAGAGGAGGGTTTAGTACCATTTGTGCAGACAGAGTCAAGGGTAGAATATTTTTAGTTTTCTAAAACAAGCACAGGAGTTTATTGAGTGTGGCATGACAGACTGACTTTATTCAAATGTATGGAGTTGTTTATTCCCAGCCTGTCAAACTGAATTGTAGTCACATACATTATGTTGTGGGTTACATCAAGCTAATGCCAAGCTAATAAAAACATTGTGTATGCCAAATTGTGAATGTGGCATGTACCATTTGTAGTCCACCAGTGTACACATCTGTTAATCTGAGACACTCTCTTGTTGGTTGAGGTCAAGCAGCCAGGTGTCTGTAAAGACTAGAACTAATGCTAAATGTTCAAGTTTAACTCTTTACCTTTCTATTTTCTTCCTTTCTTTCCCCCAGACTGCCTTTTCAAACTGTGTCCTATGAACAGATACTCAGCACAGAAACAGTTCTGGAAGGCGGCAAAACCTGGAGGCAACAGCACCACGGACACAGTTCTTCTCAATAAACTTCATGTAAGACTAACATAATCCTAATTAAATCCTAATTGCTGTGGTGTTCTGTAGGAAATTTCCAGACATGTCAGTGTGCAAAAGGCTACTGTGACGTATGTCTCCTTGAGCATCTCTGTCGCCTGCTCTGTGCACTAGCATGCTGCTGACCTTGAGAAGAAGCAGAATGAGTCTGAAAACCGGAAGCTGCTGGGAACAGTCATCCAGTATGGAAATGTCATTCAGGTATGTTGAAGTACCTGCGCGATAAGCTCATTTGCCTAACAGAAGTGGTGCTAAATGTAGCACCATATATGACACTGTGTGCTTGCTACCATTGGCCATAATTCTGTTTTAATCAGAGGGAAGTTTTAAATAATTGGCACAGCGCTGAGATGTTCTATAAAGTTGCCTATTGTAAGGTCTGATCTTGCTTTGCTCATTGTGCAGGAATATTTTGCACCCAAGTGTGAGATCATCCGAAACCAGGAATAGTAATGCATTCCTGCTCTGTGGCATGCACTGGGGAGACAGTATGTACAGTGTAGGATGTCCTAGTTACAGTGATCTGTCACTCTCGTAACAACGTGAGAAAGACTCGGTTCTTGGTTTGCATAAGAAGTCATTTTAAGCATACATTTAAGTAAAAAGTGTACTCTGTTGTGCCAACTCCCTGGCTTAAACACAGCGGATTGAGCTGAGGATTTGCCTGTGGGCCTCAAAAGTATGCATAAGCTTATATGCTTCGACTCTGGAGGGTAATAAATTACATCGGATAGGGCCTGCGGTGACCTATTGGTTGGTTGGGTGAGCCAAAGCTACAACGGAGGTCACCACAACCATTTTTGGATAGGAAATTTCAAGTACTTAAATAATGTAGAGAAGACGTAAAGATACCAAATAGTTCCTGATATGTATATTTTTACTTAAGTGTTCCCTTGGGGCCTGTTGTGCCAGTCTTTCTTTCTTGCTTTGCACCAAGCTCTGTAATTATTTCCGCTGTTTGTCTCATGTGTTTGATAGTAGCGGTGTGGCTTGTAACCATGTAATTCTGTTTCTTGTTTTTCTAACAGTTGCTGCACTTGAAAAGCAATAAATACCTGACAGTGAACAAGCGCCTACCTGCACTGCTGGAGAAGAATGCCATGAGAGTAACTCTGGACTCGGCAGGAAACGAGGGATCCTGGTTCTACATCCAGCCGTTCTACAAGCTGAGATCCCTGGGAGACAGTGTGGGTAGAGCAGGGTGTGGGATTGAAGTTAATTATGCTCAGTAGGAGAAATTAAGGGTATATTTTTAGACTTTGGGGGTTTGAAAACAGGAGTCACGTGGACGCAAATGTAGCAAGACAAGATGGATTCATTAAAAGAGGGCAAATAGCCACATCTGAGCACCAGTTCAGGCCTTTTCGTTAGTGATGCTCCACTTACTAAGCATAAGTCACGACTGACAAACTGATCTGTCTTTTCAAGACCATATTTGAGAGTTTTTCCTGGTTGGACAAGATACAATTTGCTTGAGACACAGGTGCATTTTTAAATTCTTAAATTTGAATTCCATTTTGGTTACTTGCTCAACACTATATTTATGAAAAATGGTGTGTTTGTGTTCATGTTAGTAGCTCAGCTGCATAAAGAGATCATGATGGATACCTACATTTGTGTTTATTAGATACATTACTAAATATCAATATATTAATTTATTTTTAAAATCTGTTTTAATCCCGTTTGTCATTTGTTTTAGAGATGATTAATGTGGAAAGTTTGGTTTTACTTTTTACAGATATTTTGCTACATCAAAAGGTGGCGTAAAGCTGGTGGTAGCTGCAAAGGGAGCTGCGTTAAATCTGATATGTTGACTCAAGGGTTGTAACTGCAGTTAGTGTTGGCTGAGACTATTACAAAAACATGTAAACTTGCTGGTTGTTCAAGGCTACAAGAGCTGCTTACCGGTTTTACACACCCGAATCTCCAACTGAAATTACAGGAGTCTAGTTGTATTGTGGGTAATGCAGGTGCCAGATTTTGACTAGAAACAGAGACAGAATAATCATTCATGTCTGAATCATCGCTATGGTCACTTTTCAATAAAAGTCGGGATGGCAAGCTCGTGACATTTTCGTATCACTTGCATCAACAGACTCAACAAGCTGTGATGGAGCTCATTACTCAATCTAATGACTGGCTCTATCTAACAAATAAATTAACTTATAAAATGTGACTGTGTGTGTGTCAGCTCACCTGTCTGAACTAAAACTAACAGAGTAACTTCCTGCTACATCCTGTCCACCATGCTGATAAGTTTGCTACTAGTTTAGGTTTAGTCTTTTGTTTACTTGTGCCTTCTTGAAACCTGATGTAGGCTACTGAATAGTCTCAGTGTGGCAAACATTGTGTTCTCACTGTTTCTCTCTCTGTCGCTGTCCTGAATACGTCTGACTGAAGCCGTGAACATAAAAGTGGCCTATGTCTGAATGCCAGAACTTTAACAAATGAATGACGCGGCACTGTTACACATCCCATGTCTGAAATGGGCTTTGGTGACACTGCGAACAGAGCACACGCTACACTGGCATGACCTCTGCTGCTCATGCTGCAGTTTCTGCTGGTGGCTGAAGGGAGTTGACAGAGTTAAGGTTGTTAATTGGCTAATTAAATTTCAGTTTATTAATCCCTTTGGGGGAATTTGTCCTCTGCATTTGATCCATCGTACCTATGTAGGAACAAGAGCAGCCTCAGTGCAGATCCTGTAGACTGTAGTTCTGACACTGACGTCTTTGTCAGTGGTGAGGGCAGGATCTATAGGCTGTGTCGTGATTCTGTGGGAACATGAAGGTTGTTCGCTGCTTGTCAGCTGGAATAATTGCTGCATAGGGAATAGTGATTGCTTTTCACAGTTTCAAATATTACTAGTCACGTAAAACATCATCATTAAAGTCAGGTGCATTGACTGAAATGGAGATGTGAGTAAGATGAGGTCTATTCCTCAGTGTGACTGTTTTAAGATACTATGGATCGCTTATGAAGTTTATTTTGTCTTTAGTGTAAACACATGCAAATACATTATGAGCAAAATGTCTGTTGGACTAAAACTGTTTTATTGATGGTTGTTGCCTGCTCATATTTCTTTTGTGGCTAATGGGCAGTGCTCAGGATCTAGTGTTACAGAGTAATGATTCTCTGTCTTATCCAGTCCTTTAACACAAAGTGTGGCCTACAGCGCCACCTGGTGTTTATCTGGAGGCTTGCATCATTCATTGTAACCACATCTTTCACACAGGGATTGTCTTTGAGTGAAAGGAATTTATTTCAGTGTTAGAAAAGTGCCTTTTGTTTCATCTTGAGGATTTTCTGTTGCCCTTTATTTGATGAACCTATATTTAAAAATGATGATAAAAAGGAAATTAATCAGTTTTTTATTATGATAAAAAAGTTGAAATTTTCTGAAATGTATTTATGTAAATGCCCAATGTTTATTTATACCGCCTGTAGGTGGTGATTGGAGATAAAGTCGTCCTTAACCCTGTGAATGCAGGACAGCCTCTACATGCCAGCAGCCACCAGCTAGTTGACAACCCGGGGTGTAACGAGGTAAACCTGCTGCCTTACAGAGCTGTACAACACATAAGACACAACACAGATTCCACGTTTGCTTCATTAACGCAGAATGTGAAACACATGATTGAGCATTTCTTAATGTGTATGTCCTTCTGAAATGCTCACACACTTCTCTCTCTTTCAGGTTAATTCTGTGAATTGCAACACAAGTTGGAAAGTTGTTTTGTTCATGAAATGGAGTGACAACAAGGAAACAATCCTCAAAGGGGTAGGTATCCTCTTTTCTTTGTGCAATTATTTTTACTTTGCTACTTGTGACAAATTAGGTACATGAGAAAACAATAAACACGGTAAAAACTGTAACAATGAAGACATAGCATTTTATTTTAAAAAGCGTTTTTAAGTCTCTTGACTGACGTATTGACTTGCTTAAGACATTGTTCATGCATGTATGTGTGTATTTGTGTGTCATTGCAGGGTGATGTGTGTCGGTTGTTCCATGCAGAGCAAGAGAAGTTTCTAACTTGTGACGACCACAGGAAGAAGCAACATGTTTTTCTTAGAACGACCGGCCGGCAGTCTGCAACTTCTGCCACCAGCAGCAAAGCACTGTGGGAAGTGGAGGTTAGTGCAAGATGTTCTCCAGATAAAAGCTACTTTACGTTGTCTTTCATTGTCCCTTTAATACGTAGGTAACTAAATGTCTAAATTCTTTAAAAGCACCGTGCTCTAACCCTGCGGGAGTGAGAATATGATGTCATTTACATTCCTTCTGTGCAATACTTACTATTAATGCAGGTTATTTGTAATTTCTTTCCATGTCTTTTGTTATGACCAGGTGGTCCACCATGATCCATGCAGGGGAGGCGCAGGCTACTGGAACAGCCTGTTCAGGTTCAAGCATTTGGCCACAGGGTGTTATTTGGCTGCCGAGATGGGTGAGGTGTGTACCAACGTTTGTACCTTCTTATTTGATGCGGTTATCACTTTGTACCCGTGCATACTGTTAGTGTGCTTTCATGTGTTTGTGTAAAGCAGCATAACACTCTGACATGGTTGGTGTACAGGCGTGTGGTGCAGACATACATTAGTGTTGGATAGACGATGCAGGGACCACAATATGAAATTAACAGTGCTAAGGAGGATGTCTGATGTCTGTTTTCCAGGTGAATCAAGACTTTGAGGAGGAGAGTGCTGAACAGCGGTCCTCGGTGAGTAGGCCTGATCTCCTCCCCTCTGAGTGCTTTGCAACGTCATGCTGGTTTGCCCCGCTGTTATTGATCTTATCTGTTAAAATCTACTTCCTGCTCTAGGTGGTGGACTTTACACCCTTTAATTTCCAGGTACTGTCATATAATCTTTACTTGGCTGCAGCAACATAGCTTGAAAATCTGTTCTTGTCATGTCAGCGATCAGGCAGTGTTTGCTGCTTTGTCATCCAGTCTCTCCTTTGGTACTGTGAATGATTAACAAATCTTCTAATTGAGGTTGTTTGTGTGTGTGTGTGCGCTTTTATTCTAATAGCGCTACATCACCACAGGGTGTCACCATGCCATCATCTCAGCTAATGCATGTCTCAAAGGAATTCACCATTAGGTGGCAATGTTGTTAACAGTGACTCTAACAGGGATGTTGCGTGTACTTGTAGGTCACAACATTGTGCCAAACAGGTCCAACAATTTGTTGTGACTGCTGAAGCTGATTTCTCTGATTTGCACAACTGTAATCACAAATAAGAACTAATTTGCTTTCGTAGTGACCAGAAGGTTATGCTGAAAATCTGGAAACTCCTGTACCTCATTATGGTTGAAGCTTGTGAGCCCATTATATCTGTGATTTAGGTGTACTTTTTGTACCTTGCTGCAGTTTGTAGCCAGTAGTTTTCTCCTTCTTACAGCGTGTTTCATTCCTTTAGCTGGATGCAGATAATGAAGCTTTACGAGGCCGACTGCGGGCTCCACAGGAGAAAATCATGTACACTCTGGTGCCTGTTCCCGATGGTATGGATATCTCCTCTATCTTCGAGCTGGACCCTACTACTCTGAGAGGCGGGGACTCCATGGTGCCCAGGTATACAAACACAACTTTGCCTATACGCGTGTGAATAGCACTTGTACTTCTTCAGGAACTTGTGTATTTATTGTAATTCATACAATATCCAAAAATCACAGAGGTAAAATGTTTTTTACAATCCATAAACATGTTTATTCCTTTGTTTTTAACCACACATATTCAGAAAAAGACCCCACCACTGATGTACAAGCAAAATAAGAAGTGACATTTCAGACAGAGGCGATGTGAGAGACCTTTAAAGCAGAAACATCCCCTGCCCTTTAGTGGAAAAAGTAACGTTAGGAAGGGTCCAGATAGTGTGGAAATTATGTTGAATGACAAATATCTCAACATCACATTGTCCTAAGATAAAGACCACAGTGATGTCAAGGCTGCAGCCATTCAAACAGTGACAGAAGTAAACATTTGACTCATGTGCATTGTTGAAGGGGAATTTTGGAGCATCAGTGTGAGGGGAGTTTCTGACGTCATGAGTGTGTTTGGTTTTGCAATCATGGACAAGGACCAGTTTTGTTATGTCTGTGTGGCCAGTGGTACATTTTTTTTGACTAGTCACCCAGAACAGAGTTGCTACCAAGTGTTTTGCTTTGCTTGAATCACAAGTTTCCTAGGACACTGTCAGGAAGAGTGTGGAGTATTTATTTATTTGATTGTACTTTCACTTAGCAAAGAAACCACTGACACCTCTATGTGTGTGTGTGTGTGTGTGTATCAACCTAACATCATATGATGCTCTCCAAGGAAATCTGGTAAAGTCCTAATATGGAGCGAAACAGGATGTCAATCAGACACGGAGAAGACATCAGACCCAAGAAGGGAAAAAACTTTCAGTTTCAAAATGCCATTTGAGGTCCTTGTTGTGTGTTTAAGCTGCGGATGTCGTCACACAAAGCCACATCATCTGGCAGAAATGTTTTTGTCAGGAAATGCTCTTTTACTCCCAGGCATGGATTAAAATGAGTCATTCTGAATTATAGCTCCACGGTAGCAGAATCAGTAAAAATGCACAGTTTTAGTTATGACACATTATGCAACATTTCAAGGACTTATAAATGAAAGCTGAGATAAAAGATAAAAACCTTTGTCAGGATGTGTTGTCTGCTCTGAGCACCTGTATTGTCTGTATTGAGCCTCCAATTTGTTAGTTAATTCTTGTTGGCAGTGCTGTGAGACAGAGAATGAGTAGTTCTAAAATTACAGCAGTGTAATTGTCCCTGTCACTGCACATCAGATAAGAACTGAGCCTCCCCACCTTGTACAAAAGCCTCTATTGTGTCACGTCGTCAGGTGCGTGTCTGCATGATGCGGGCTGCTGCTGGTAGCACCTCCTGCTCCAACCTGAAATAACCCTGTCCCTTAAACTTTAGCCAGGGGACTAATTAATGCCAGTGAGAACCGGTACACAAAGGTAAGCCTGTTAGCTTCAGCAGGCGGTTACGTAACGCCCGCCGAGAATATGGCTACTGTCTGACAAACTACACACACGCTTACTCACGCGCACACGTGGACGCGGGCTGGATGCTTTGAGAATGAAGGACGTAGTTGGCTCAGACTTTACTATGCGTAAAGGTTTAGCGCTTAATGGAGGGGAGATGATACTGTACAGGTTACTACTGGCTAATCTGTAAGAATGCCACACACTTGGCTGAGGAAGCCACTGTGAGCAGCAGGCTCCCTACCCAGACAGCCTGTGTACATGCCGAGCGTTATCACAAGACAATGTGCAATAAATCCTATCTTTTTGATGATCTTCTGTTTTTGTTGGCACTGTTTCATAGAGGTTTCGATTTATGATGTTCGGCCTTTTAGATTGTGAGACATGCTGTGTTTGCTAAAATTGATATCTTGGCCCGAGAGTGGCTTTAGACGAAAGCTTGTGGAAAGAGTTTTGGGTGTCAAGCCTGTAATGACGCTACCTGTCTTGAACTCGAGCAGGTAATGCCTCCTTAAATTTGTCCTCTGAGTCGTTCCCCGCAAATACAGGTGGAGAATTTTCTAAAACTCCTTTTCTAAAAGCTTTTAAAAGCTATTAAAAAGTATTAAAGGACAATTTAGAGTCCTGGTCATCTTGATCAGGGCATGTCCAAGAAGTTTAACAAGTCCAAAGCAGTGTTGCTTCCTAAAGGACACTTTAATAGTGTGAGTGGCTGCCGATGGTCGTTTAGGGTTGTATGAGAGTCAAGCAATCAAACTGTTCAGATTTTCAAAGTAATATGACACCCTGTCCGTTGTCACATCCTACTGTGCTCTGTAGCTTAAATTGCAGCATCTTTTTTTCTGTATAATTTGTTCTATTTTATCATGGCGGTTCCATCTGTTACTTCCAGGAGCTCCTATGTGAGGCTAAGACACTTGTGCACCAACACATGGGTTCATAGCACCAACAACCCCATCGACAAAGAGGAGGAGAAACCTGTGATGTTACGGGTGAGTGGCTGATGGGTTGCTCAACATGTGTGGTGAAATTTCCTGAACAGTTGCACATAAATCATTAGATTTTTTTTTTTCCAGATTGGAACATCGGGAGTAAAAGAAGACAAGGAAGCTTTTGCCATTGTCCCTGTGCCTCCTGCAGAAGTGCGTGATTTAGACTTTGCTAATGATGCAAGTAAAGTGTTGGCATCCATTGCTGGCAAGCTGGAAAAAGGAACTATTACACAAAATGAAAGGAGGTATGCACAAAAATCATCTACAGATTGTTATTACATTAATACCTACTTACAGTACGCTATTCATATATATTTATTTGTGAATACGTTCACCAAAGTCTTGCAGTTGAGTTGCACTACAGGTGTTTTCCCTCATATGCACACTCTCCAGGTTTGTGACCAAGCTCTTGGAAGATCTAGTTTTCTTTGTGGTAGACATTCCCAACAGTGGGCAGGATGTTTTGGAGATCATGGTTAACAAACCCAACAGAGAAAGACAGAAACTCATGAGAGAGCAGAATATCCTTAAACAGGTAGGCCCTAAACGTCAGACACACGTTCTGCGCTCGTTTTTCAAAAGGTTTCAGTTTTTAATATCTTCTGTTGCCTTCACAGATCTTCAAACTTCTCCAAGCCCCTTTCACAGACAGCGGTGATGGTCCCATGCTGCGACTGGAGGAGCTCGGAGACCAGCGCCACGCACCGTTTAGACACATTTGTAGGCTTTGCTACAGAGTGCTCCGCCACTCTCAGCAGGATTACAGGAAGAACCAAGTGGGTTGCACATTACAGCTGCACTCTGAACTCTGAATGTTGTGGCGTTTTCTCTGCAGCAATTATCCCTTCTTTTCTTCTGTTTACAGGAATACATAGCCAAGCAGTTTCGCTTTATGCAGAAGCAGATAGGATATGACGTGTTGGCAGAGGACACAATAACAGCTCTGCTCCACAACAACCGGAAACTGCTGGAGAAACACATCACTGCTGCTGAGATAGACACATTTGTCACCCTAGTGAGGAAGAACCGGGAGCCGAGGTGAGGCTTACAGGAAGGAAGACAGGCCCTGGCCGCTGTCTTAAACCTGGCATAGAAGGAGCTGCTGTGGCCAGTCTGGGTCGGATTTGTTTGTATAACACTCCGAAGGAATGTAAATCTATGTAAATGTATTCAAATGAGTGCAGTAAGAGTATGACTGGAGCTGCTTGTGCATGACCTTGGCACTGCAGGTAATTTGCTGACATTTAGTGTGTACTTCTGTTGTGTTGAAGGCAAATGTTGTTTACAACATGTGACTCAGGTTGATGCAGAAGTCTGAATAAGGAAGGCCTTCACATTTTGAACCGTTATGGTACTGAGATAAGGAGAATGACCATTAGTAGTTCAATATATTTCTTTATTTTAACTAAATTTTCTTCTGTATTTAATCTGAAATTGAAATCTCTTAATCCGGCAGTGCCTATGAGAAATATTTATTGTACTGTCACCTGTGTTCAGGTTTCTGGACTACCTGTCGGATCTATGTGTGTCCATGAACAAATCCATCCCTGTGACGCAAGAGCTCATCTGCAACGCAGTGCTGGACTCGAGCAACGCTGACATCCTCATTGAAACCAAGTGAGCTACTCGTTTTAATTAATTATTAGAATTGGCTAAACTGAAATAAGTCACTCAGAGAAAATTTTTGTGCTGTTCAACAGGTTGGTCCTGTCAAGGTTTGAGGTTGAGGTGCCAGCAAATGGGGAGAATCCAGTGGAGGCAGAAGATGAAGAGGAGGTTTGGTTGTTCTGGAAAGACAACTGTAAAGAAATCCGGAGTAAGAGCGTCCGGGAGTTGGCTCAGGATGCAAAGGAGGGCCAGAAGGACGACCAGGAGGTGGTCAGCTACTACAGGTGGGATGTCTTTGAATGCACACATTTTCAAACAGGTTTTACATGAAGCTTTTGCCTTTGTATTTTCTGCAAACGGCAGTATTATTCATCAAGTAATATTCAAGCTTCCTAATGATTAACACTCTGTCTTTATAAATAGAAATGACTAATAATTCCAGACTCACATATTTCTTCCCAGGTGCCAGCTGAATCTCTTTGCCCGGATGTGTCTGGACCGTCAGTACCTGGCCATCAACAAGATTTCTGGTCAGCTGGATGTGGATTTGATCCTCCGCTGCATGTCTGATGAGGATTTGCCTTTTGACCTGCGAGCGTCTTTCTGCCGTCTGATGCTGCACATGCATGTGGACCGTGACCCTCAGGAGCAGGTCACGCCTGTCAAATATGCTCGTCTGTGGTCTGAGATTCCTTCGAAAATCGCTATTGATGAGTGAGTTCACATCGTTAGTACTTTAAGCTGACTTATGTAAGCGTTCTAAAGAAGCCACAGCAACTTAGATGTGATTCTCCTCTAATTATCCAGCTATGACAACGATGGAACCACTCGAGATGAGATCAAAGAGCGTTTCTGCCTCACCATGGATTTTGTGGAGAACTACCTGAGAGAGGTGGTGTCCCAGAATATTCCCTTCTCTGACAAGGAAAAAAACAAGCTTACCTTTGAGGTAATGCCTCTTTGTGTGTGATATGATGAAGATAACAGCTGAGAAGTTGTGCTGGTTTATTAAAGTCTAAATCCTGAATTGAAATCTTCTTGGTTGTAGGTCGTGAACCTGGCAAGGAACCTCATATACTTTGGTTTCTACAACTTTAGTGACCTGCTTCGGCTGACAAAGATCTTACTGAACATTTTAGACTGTGTACATGTCAGCACCATTTACCCCATCAACAAAATAGAGAAGGGAGAAGAAACCAAAGGTAAGCATCCAATCTCTTGGGCTTAATCTGCTTTGCTATATATCGGTGAATAATTTTTCATTTAGTTTGAAGCTTTTCTTTCAGGAACACATTATTTAAGGATGAATTTATCCAATGTGATACTTATTAAGGTATCATTTCTTCTGTTAGTTACTCATGTAGTACCTGCAGTTGTGTAGAGAAAAGCGCAATCACAACTAAATCTCTATAATCACAAAACACAGACATCGTTGATATGTTCTTAGCTATGTGTTGCAAAATTTTTACAAACAATTTTTAGAATTCGAGGCTACTCTTTAACTGCCTTTGCAAAACAAAGTAAGTTCATTTCACACAAATATTCCTAATTTCTGTAGATTTAAATGTTACGCTTGGTTTGTTTCTTCACGCACTGCAGCTGGCAGTAATGTGATGAAGTCCATTCATGGCGTTGGGGAGCTGATGACCCAGGTGGTGCTGCGAGGAGGCGGTTTGCTGCCCGCCACACCAACTCACGAGCCTGAGGGAGACGTGGTCAAAACTCAGACTGAACCAGAGAGAGAAGACATTATGGTCATGGACACAAAGCTGAAAGTTATTGAGATCCTGCAGGTACAACATGAGGAAACTAGTTCATGCTTGACGCCACACCCTGAGTGCATTGTGTAACTTTTTCATCTTTTCCTTTAGTTCATCTTGAATGTCCGACTAGACTACAGGATATCCTGCCTGCTCTGCATTTTTAAACGGGAGTTTGACGAGAACAACCCACAAGGAGACAGCCCTTCCAGTCAGAATGGATCCAACAACATTGCAGGTCAGATGCCAGGTATGAAACCACATGATTTGATATGAAATTAAGTTATTTGCCATTTTGTGCTTCTGACTCATCTGATGTATGTATTTCTTTAATTGTTTTAATTAACTCTAGGAAACTTTGACTTTGAGAACATTGAGGAACAGGCAGAGGGGATCTTTGGAGGAAGGTAATTAATAGATTTCTAGCATTCCCAGAGCTTTTAGTGGCTGTCAGTAACTTGAACCAGGTTGCCACTGAAACAAAGTAAAACTGAGACAAAGTGTTTTTGGTTAGTGAGGAGAACACTCCACTAGACCTGGATGACCATGGTGGTCGCACCTTCCTGAGGGTCCTGCTGCACCTGACCATGCATGACTACCCACCACTCGTGTCTGGAGCACTTCACCTGCTCTTCAGACACTTCAGCCAGAGGCAGGAAGTCCTCATGGCCTTCAAACAAGTAAAGAACTTATCACCTAATATGTTACCACATACACCTAAGATAATGCTGTAGCACCAAGTACTGACTAACTAATACATTTATGAAATTAAGCTTAAGCTACGGTAAAATGAGTTTTAGCTCACTGCTGGACCCCTACAGAGCTTCAACATAAGCCTCAACAGTAGCCTGTCTTCCACAGGTTTTAAGTGATGACCACTTTCCAGTATTCTATCATTTCAGATTTAAACATGTTTGTCAACTTAAAGTTGTCTGTGCTTTTATGTTACCTTTAAATCTTTCTTTTCTTTTGTTTTAATTTCAATGTTTTTAGTCAGATTTTCTTTCTTTGTGAGCATTTTAATGCACAATGTAAAGAATTTTGAATTGCCTCTCTGTATGAAATGTGCAATACAAATAAACTTGCCTTGCCTCATGGAAACCTCCATCCTTCACCTAAATCTAGGTCCAGCTGCTGGTGACCAGTCAGGATGTTGATAACTACAAGCAGATCAAGTCAGATCTGGACCAGCTGCGTTCTATTGTGGAGAAGTCTGAGCTGTGGGTTTACAAGAGGCAAGGAGAAGATGGGATGGATGGAGATGGACCTTCAGAGTCTGACAACAAAAAGAAGGTAAACTGAACATTTGGTGTGCTGATAAGAAGAATAGTCTGTTAAAAGGCTTATATGTTTAAAAATAGACTATATAAGATGCAAACTGATGCAATGTAAAGGACTCATTATTGCTCCTTGTTTTACAGGGAGACTCAGGTGGTTCAGATAAAAAGAAGACAGAAAGTACCAGCAGTTACAACTACAGAGTTGTGAAAGAGGTATGTAGCTGTATGGATGTTTATTTTTATTTTCATATTCGGGACTTGGTGCTTGTTATAGAAATCCTTCCTCTGTATGTGTTCAGATCCTGCTGCGCCTCAGTAAACTGTGCGTTCAGGAGGGAAGCTCAGGGAAGAAGAGCAAGAAACAGCAGCAGAGGCTGCTGAGGAACATGGGAGCTCACAGTGTGGTGCTGGAGCTACTCCAGATCCCCTATGAGAAGGTGCAACACTCAAACTGAATATCATATGGCTTGTATAATAACTAGGAAGCCTTAAAGATGTCTATAGATGTTACGTGTCTGCAGTTCACCATTGTAATATAAATACCTGCATTATGTGTCCCAGGGTGAAGATGTTCGAATGCAGGAGATCATGAAATTGGCTCATGAGTTTCTGCAGAATTTCTGTGCAGGGAACCAGCAGAACCAGGCTCTCCTCCACAAACATATCAACTTATTCCTTAACCCAGGGGTGAGTGTCTCAGGCAGCTCCTAGTTACCTCAAGGGACTGATTTGTACAATTCAAGAGTTGAATTTCCAAAATAACATTTATGGAGAAAATAAACCTGGCCTTCTTTTCCTCTCTGTCAGATCTTGGAGGCCATCACCATGCAGCACATCTTCATGAATAACTTTCAGCTGTGCAGTGAGATCAACGAACGTGTAGTTCAGCACTTTGTCCACTGTACTGAGACGCATGGTCGACATGTTCAGTATCTCAAGTTTCTACAGACCATTGTCAAGGCTGAGAACAAGTTCATCAAGAAGTGTCAGGACATCGTCATGGCAGAGGTCTGTTCTGTGAGCTTTAATTAAATTAGTACCAAAATACAGAGGAGACAGTTATTCCAGGAAGTGGTGATACTGTAGGTACACTGTACTTTCCACTCTCTCCCACTTAGCTGGTCAACTCGGGCGAGGACGTCCTGGTCTTCTACAACGATCGTGCCTCCTTCCAGACCCTCGTCCAGATGATGCGTTCAGAGCGCGATCGCATGGATGAAAACAGCCCTCTGATGTACCACATCCACCTGGTGGAGCTGCTGGCCGTCTGCACCGAGGGAAAGAACGTCTACACCGAGATAAAGTGTAACTCGCTGTTACCCCTGGATGACATCGTGCGGGTCGTCACCCATGAAGACTGTATTCCTGAGGTGTGGATGAGCTTTTTTTTTTCATGTATTTTAATGTGAAGTGTGTTCAGTTTTTGTGTTCTAAAACAAAGTGAAGTGAAACATTTCAAATGAGCTGAAAGTGCAACCTGCATCTATCTTTTAGATAAATTTAAAAAAAATTCCTGCCTGACACATTCTTTAGAAAGGGGAACTTAAGAACAACACACAACATTGTAGACCCTGGAGGAGCTCTGTACTGGATGACCTTGTAGTTTCACTTGTTAAGATAATCCCTTTTCACTTTCACTTATTCACAGGATTGGACATAAATGCATTAAAACTGCAATGATAACCAGTCCACCTCTGGTAAATGTGCCTTATTGAGTTTATGTATTTGGATCCTGACAGGTGAAGGTTGCCTATATCAACTTCCTAAACCACTGTTATGTGGACACAGAGGTGGAGATGAAGGAGATTTATACGTCCAATCACATGTGGAAGCTGTTTGAGAACTTCCTGGTGGACATTTGTAGGGTAAGCCACAACACATCCAACACTGTCATCAATTGAAGGCAAATGCTCTTCTGCTTTACAGTGGGTCATGCATTCGGGCGATTTTGTTGACCCCAGCATGCATTACCTGTCGACCCCAGCACGCAGGAAGTGTGATCCGGTGGCTGTGCATCATGCTAATGTTGTCTTTGTCCTTCTTTAGGTGTGCAACAACACCAGCGACAGGAAGCATGCAGACACCATGCTGGAGCGTTATGTAACCGAGACAGTCATGAGCATTGTCACATGTTTCTTCAGCTCTCCTTTCTCTGACCAGAGCACAAGTCTGCAGGTAATGATGACTAGCGTATGAAATACATATTACAAGCAGGTTTGCAATCTCGATTTCTTTGTATAGCTTAGAAATCATGTGTTTTTTCAAGTTAGTCAGTTTAAAAGAAAGGAAAACTCCTCACATCTGTATACACATATACACTATAAAATATGACATTCTTCCCTTTGCATAGATGGCTCGTCATATGTATGTAAGTAATAGTAACTTTCTCCCCCTAAATTTTGTTTTCCAAGCTTTGGTTGTGTTCCTTATCAACAGGCTCCGAATGTTGAGAAGTATTCTCTGTGTGGGTTGTCACATTTTCATAGCTTAGTCAGCACACAGACTCTGTTCTTCCCAGATCTGTGGGTGTGTTGCACAAGGTTTTTGCTGGGACATGGTGCAGATGATGCACTGATGCAATGTGGTCACTGTTTCGTAGACCTTGTTGTCGCCGTGTCTCGTCGCCCACGAGTTTCCCAATAAATCATGACCACTACCCTCAATAGATTTCCAAACCCTTCGTGCAGTTACTCTGTGGATTTGCATTGCATACAGCTGTCCACTTGATACCCTGCTATCTGTTTTGTGGATCTGTTTTTGTTTTAAATTGGCTCCAGTAGAAGTTTTCTTTTTTGTAATCGTTTGCACTTTCTGAAAACAATGCTTGCTGAGGTTTACCGATACATGGTGATGCCGCGACCCTTTCCTTTTTCTCTTGAAACAGGCAACCATTCTCGGAAAGATAACTGAGGTATTTATTGTACGTCAGGCCTGTGGTCATGTAGAAGTCAGCCGTACTCGCTGTTAAACACTGGTTTGATGCGTGGTATTGGGAGTGCATCTGATGATTAACAGCTGGCTTGCTAGGCCTGAAGCTGTTAACCCTTCAACAGTAGATGCCATAGTATCCTCTCATTGTCATGTGCACCACAAATGAATCCCACCTAGTCATGGAGCACTTTAGTGAGACTGTTGGTTGTTGAATATTAATTCCCAGTTTTCCAGCTCCATCTTATAAAGCATGTGTAATCCTTTTCGCCTTTACCCTCTTCATTAAGCTTTTCTCTTTAATTTTCTTTTCACTGTCTTACAGACTCGTCAGCCAGTTTTTGTCCAGCTGCTTCAGGGAGTGTTCAGGGTATACCACTGTAACTGGCTTAACCCTGTTCAGAAGGCGTCAGTAGAGGCTTGCATTAAAGTCCTCTCAGACGTGGGTAAGATACTGAACTGGCTAACACCAATTTCTGTTTTCAATATTAGAAAGGACAAGTGTTATATCTACTGCTTCTGTCTAGCTAAGAGCAGAGCAATCGCCATCCCTGTGGACCTGGACAGTCAGGTGAACAACTTGTTTGTCAAGTCCAACAATGTGGTGCAGAAGAGCATCCTCAACTGGAGACTGTCTGCGAAGAACACCTCCAGACGAGACTCCGGCTTGACTACCTCAAAAGACTACAGAAACATCATTGAGAGGCTACAGGTCAGTATAGCACAGTCAGTTGGGAAAAGCAACAAAGACTAGCAAACCAAATGCAGGTTTAAAAAGAAGAAGAAAAAAAACTGGTTGAAAGGCAGCTGCAAATGTTAATTTTAAATTTCTCTCAGTCAAATGGTTTATTTTATATCTATGTATTGTAATTCTCTGTCACCTGTGTGCATAAAGAACTCCAGTTTATGGTGGAGAACAGAAGGCGGTAATGGATTTTATAATGTCCATAAACCACACATCTGATGGCAGTGCAGAGTGGTGCAGAACATCCATTTCTGTCAGTGGTGGTAAGACCATGTGCCATCGTCATTCTGACAAAGAGAAACCAAACACCCTAAACTGGAAAATGTGCAGCGACACAAAAGCAGTTTTTGTTGTTTTTTGACCAGTTACTTAGACAAATGAGCGACTTCTGGCCATGTGTTTTTACTAAATGTTTAGTAACCACTACGTCGTTTACAGAATAATTGGTGTTTGATTCTTGATTCTGCATCCTGCTGCCCCCACCATGATGCCTCCTGTTACAAAAGGATAATAAATTCTAATAACTTGTTTAACTATAAATTAAATTGTATAATTCATCCCACTCTTACCCAACCGGTTGAGGCAGATGGCCGTCCCTCCCTGAGCCTGGTTCTGTCGGAGGTTTTTTTTCCCCTGTGGGGGTTTTCGGTTCCTTCCCACTGTTGCGGACTGCTGAAGCTTATAGGGAATCCAAATGTTTTGGATTGTTGGGTGTTTCTGTCTCTGCCTTTGTGAAGCGCTATGAGATGACTTGTTGTTGTAAATATGCGCTATAAAAATAAAATTGAATTGATTGGAATTAGAAGCACTTTAAAAAAAATCAAATTTTCTTGAAGTCAAATGAATTTGTAAAAGTCTAATTGTATTAGTAGCGGTAGGGTTCGACAGTGTTCCTCGTAATACTTTCTCCTAATGTATGTGAATGGGTTGGCATGCTTTTTCTCCTTGGCTAGCTCATTTGGTCTAATTATCCTATTTTCTGTTAAAAGAAGGCTATTTAAACCTAAAAAGGCAATCAAAGCAATACAATTACAGTTTCTCTGTTTCTGATGGGTCGTTTTTTAAATTCTTTACCACATTTTTTTTACATGTCAGGCAGCTAGAGAACAGTAGTACATCTCCAACTTCAATCTGGGCTCGCTGCGGAAGAAAACGCACTCACAGAAATCTCAGTCTACGATTGCATCTATGTGAATCTGCCATGAGAAAACTTAGGGGTCATTAACTGTTGGCGATATGCCAAGAATGACTTCATGCTTTTGGTAACTGTGGTAAACAAAATACTGTAGAAGTGGTGTCGAATCTAAAAAAAAAAACAGCCAAAGCTGCTACACCCTATTTTCTTGTAAAGTGTGACTCAGTATTCGCAGGAAGCCTGAAAATTAACCAACACAGCTGGTTCAGCTCAGCTCTTATCTCTACTTACACGTGACACCGTCAGGGTCTGACTGACAACTTCATCCTGTCATTGAGTAAACAAACATTTCCAAATATTAGACCAACCGACGGTAATACTGGCATAGATTTGCAAGGTTGTTTTGGTCACTGACCCGTTCCCAGATTCAGATTAATGTGGTTCTCAAAATGGTTTCCTGCCCATTTCTTTTTTTTTTTTTTTGGGGCCTTTATTTCGGGAATAGAAAGTCTCAGCCTGCAAGATTCAACACTCAACATTTGTATTCTGTTGTGTTTTTTCACCTCTTAAGAGCCTCTTTTGTTCTGCCACTCACTAGACGGCCCACACAGTTCTATAAAAACCACCAGACTGGCAGTCTTCACGTTGCTACTTCACTTATTTGCATTTTTTCACACTAATCATCAGCAGATGTGACGGGAAGTTCATACAGCAAGACAGCGTGGTGTTGCATCATACGTATAGTTTAATTTGGTTAAAGTGTCTCATGCACTGCCTTTGGTTTTTCTGACATGAATCCCATAAAGCAGCCGTTACAATATTTTGAGAGCTGGACATCGTTGATGATAGAATGTGGAAGCATGTACAGTAGATTATGATAAATATAGGTTAGGAGTAATCGTTTAATAGTCTAGCTAATCTGACACGGTAAACTCTCCGAAGTCTTAGTTACTATAATAAAGGTACTAAACTTTATCTGTAAAAATCTGTTCTTTGTCACGTCCTACATTACAGTGAATTCAATCATGGTTCAACTCGTTTGTTATTATAAAATACAGTAAGTCTGTAAACTCCTCTCTGCTTTCACCACGTTGCTCTTTAGGACATAGTGTCTGCGCTGGAGGACCGTCTGAGGCCACTGGTCCAAGCTGAGCTCTCTGTGCTGGTGGATGTCCTGCATCGTCCGGAGCTGCTTTTCCCTGAGAACACAGACGCTCGCAAAAAATGCGAAAGCGGAGGATTCATATCAAGGTGAGTCTGAACTTGCACCTACCAAGGCCACTGGTGGGTTAGGGACTTTCCTGAACACATAAATACTTTGCGCTTTTGGCAGCCTTTACCCCTCAATGACCCAGGGAAAAATACATGCACCGAGAAACATTTATTTATATTTACATTTAATGCTATATTGTGCCTGGTGTGAGCTCAGGCTGGATTACTGATAATCTGGCGGGACACAGAGACGTTGTTAATGCAGGGATTAGTTTACAATTTAAAGCCGTCACTGTGGAGTACAATAGCAGCACGTAAAGCATCCACAATGGTGTGTTGGAGCAATTGTCCTAATTCAATGCTGAATAAAACCCCCCCTCAACTTCCAATCCTATTGTTTTGGACTTCATCACAGTATCATGAAAATCAGCCAAAATACTTTTACCACAGGACTTGAGGTGTATTCAGCTGTGTAGGTAGGAAGGCTTGAGAACTGCAGCTTTCATCAGTTCATATGTGTGTGTACTCACTTTTTTCCCCCCTCTTCCTTCCTTTTTTTTCTCTTCGACCAGATTGATCAAACACACCAAGCAGTTGCTGGAGGAGAATGAAGAGCGCCTGTGCATCAAAGTGCTGCAGACACTGAGGGAAATGATGACAAAAGACAGGGGCTATGGGGAGAAGGTATGTTGCTTTTGTGTTCCAGTTTCTCGTCATCTTTTTTGTAGCTGCGCCCTAAGATTCACCCACACATGAGTTGAGACGAGTTAAAACACTTTTCTGACATCTCAGGATATACTGTTCCTGTCCCACTGCACCAAACTTACTGGAAGACAAAAGATCAGAAATACAAAAAAAAAGGCAGACTCGGTTTCCTCTGGAGCCTGTATAGCACACTCAAAGGAAATGATCCGCATGTTTGTCATCAAGTCTCTCTTTGTGAAATGAGCAGTTTGTGAATACTCACCGTTTTGTCTGGTTTTAATGGTTTTGTAGGGTATCGGATACTCCTGGACAGAAAAAGTAGATTCCCTCATTGCTTTCTTCCCACAATACTTTAGCAAGCAACACATCTAAAAGATTAACACTATTAACAACATGCATCATCCGTCACTCATTTTACACACCATTCATTAGCTGCTAACGGTCTGTTGAACTAATTTCTAATCGGTCGTGTCACCTCCGTCAGCGTGCTTTCCTGTTAAACGCTTTAGCACTCTGGATTCACAGATCCAAACCAAGGCTAAAAGACGAAAGGAAAGCGGTTTCATTTTTGATTCATAGGTTGGCAGCGTGCTTTAAAGTTTCCTTGTGGAGTTTGTAGGACTGTTTTTGCAAGCACTTGGCAGTGACCAGGTGTTTCATGCACAAGGAAGCAGCTACATGTAGATTATAGAACTCAAAGCTCTATCTACAAATAACATGTATGACCGATACTGCTGCAGAAACCCTCGTTCAGGTATGCAATTGATCACAGTGTTGACAGGTGGAAAGCTAGTGAGGGCTCATGTCCTTATCATTGCACTTGTAGCTCCTGCAGCTGTGGAAATAGGCGGGTGTAACAGGAAAAAAAAAAGCCTTTTTAATTGGACTCCAGTTGTTAATTGTGAGGCACTTTAGCAGATAAATAAATATTATCCACACGTGGTCAGTTTACAACCAGGACACTTAGTTTCTCTTCTGCCTTGTAGGCTAAAATGCGGACTGATAAGAAAGGAAAAGCACTTCTCACTTCAATTATAGAGGTAGAATATTTCAGAACAATTCAGTCAGTATACAGTCAATATAGTATAAAGTCCAATTCATTCACTATGAGAGCAAAAAGGTGTCAACTCAGTTCACTCTAAAATGAGTTTCACTCTCTGTCTTTGTGATTACAGAAGTTCAGAACAGGTTGTGAACTTTGTGCAGGTTGACGGCTGTTTTTATCTTTATGTATATTCCCTAAAAAAAGACTTCACCTGCGTGGATTATGCATGTTTTATCCTTTAACAGCATCAAACCACAATTAATGTCTTTTTTTAAATTTATTTACACTTATCAGCTGGATTGTCTGTTTTTTTTTTTTTAAAGAAGTCACATGAGAAGTTTAAAATGAATTAATTTGTGTGGTTTTTTTTCTTTTTGGTTAAACGTGTGTTGAGGCTCCAGTCACTGAAAGGACACAAGTGACAAAAGGCGCTATTGAAGAAGGCCATAAAGATAAGATTTGTACGGTTCCACGGCTGAGATATTAGTCTGTGTATTTTACGACTTTTGTTTCAGCTTCAGGCAAATAGAAACTCTCTGATCGCACACTGTTCACTCACAGAAGGTCTCAGCTAATGTTTGCCAGAAGCCATTAATAGAAATGTGCAAAACTAAAAAAAAAATCCCTTAAACATTAACTCGTCTCCGTTGATCCGACGAGCTTAATATCATCAGTGCTTCAATGTTCTGAAACAATGAAACATGATGGTGTGTTTCTACTACTATGCCTTTGTTCTGTTTTTGAGCTTTAACATTCTGTCCTTCTGCTGTTTTTTTTTTTTCCACTAACTTGCTGCGTGTGTGAGAGTCGAGCTTTACGTTTGCACACTTGACATGACGGAGCTTTAACTCACTAATCTGCCTCTACTAACTCTCTGCTCCCTATACTTCTTCTCTTGCAGCTGATTGCCTTTGATGATGAAATGGATGTGGCTGAGGTTGATCATTTTACTTACTACTGTGATGTCCATTTGAGTCGTCTCCCACTAACAGCGTAGATGTGCTTGTGCTCCAAGTAGACCTTCTAGTAGCAAAATCCCATCTGTGTCAGCAGCTTAATCCATGCCATGTGCCCGTTAAGAGATCTCCATGCAAAAAAAATGTAGCATACTGCTAACATGTCTCGCTCACATTTTGCAATATGCTTGTATGTTGTGCCTGTACATGTTTGTGTATTTACTGTGTTGGAGTATAAACTAAAAGGGTTCATTTCTTAATTGAGAGTAGGTGATTTTAGGCTTGTTAATGTTACTGCTTTTTATTAGTTCCATTTGGCAGTTGCACAACCTGACAGCAATTTTAGGCAGCTGAAGCCTCTGAACACTATTTGTGTAGGTCCCTAGAGTTTCAAAGGGGGACGAAGGGGCATTTTTAAATTTGTTTTTCCAAAACTCTAATATGTATTTTTCATGCAATACCAACCAAATTGAATCGTTTCTCTTTTAAAATTCATTCTCAGTTGTCTAATTTTCTATATTCTGGCTGACTTGATCAGAATCATATGTAAACAGATACAGATTAATGAAACTGCATGAGGAGAAAACAATAGGGGGGCTGTGAATGAGGAGGCTGTGTACACTGAATGACCAGCAAAACAGAATTTAAATTGTTGTTTCTCCTTGAGTAATGCTCATTTTTAACGCTTTAAACCTGGATGCTGTGGCATTGGAGTGCATTTTTATGTTTCTAATAATTTGCTAAATATTTGTAAAATCTCTGCAGACGAATGGCCCAAGAGCTACATAAGATTTAGACCCGTCTGACGCAGGGCTACACAATAATATTAGCATCGACGTCTGAATGTTCACATGGCCAATAGTCACAGTAAAGGCGATTTTGTGATTTAGCAAATTACGTCAAACTCATCATGCTGCAACTTTTTTTCCTGCCTAATACAAAAAACCTAGATTTAGGGATTCTCATTTCTTCTCATTTCTCAACTTTATTTAAGAGACAGTTTGTTGACATACAGAAACAGCAAAACGAGCAAGAAAGAGGACAGAAACACTCAAAAGGAAGATTTGGTTGCAAAAAGAAACACATCGGTTAGAAATAGGGATACACGATATATCGGCGACCACATCGGTATCGGCCGATATTGTTTTTTCCCCATATATCGTTATTGGTCCGATGAACAAATTTCGCAATGTGAAAAAACTGATGATTGTCTAACATCAGTGCCGTCGTCTCTACATTTCATATTGCTGCTATTTCACAGATGTTTTTAATTAAATGGTCCTGGACTTGACTGTTAAATATGTTTAAATATGTTTTACTTCTGTTATGTAAAAAAGAAGACTATGTGGTCTAATTTGGGTTTCTTTTGAATAGTTTTCACATTCTCACACTGCTTACTCATTTTTTGATGTGAACAAAAACTGAATATCAACATCGATAATATCGGTTATCGGCGATATCAGAAATCTTAATATCGGACATCAGTATCGGCCAGAAATTTTAATATCGTGCATCACTAGTTAGAAATATTTTATCTACAGAAAAGATGTTGACCGAAAGCAGCTATTCTGTCCTCTTGTTGCCAATACACAATGCTACACAGCTAATTTGTTTGACCATTTAAATCAGCATTACAAAACCACTGTGAATGCAGTTGTTGAAGTCATCTGGGGAACATTCCTGTATTTTTAACATGCCGCAATATAAATTGCAGAAAAACAATTTTCCAGTGTCATGCAGCCCTAGTTGTACGTATATATTTCTAATATTATATTGGATTTTTGAACATATATTTATTCATTTTCTGTATTTATTTATATTGCCACTTGCACTATTTATGTAAAATTTTATTTCCAAAAATGATGAGCCAAAAATCTTTCCAACATTGCGTTTCTATCCAAAAGTAGTTTGATTTTTATGGTCAGAGTTGTCAGAGTAATCTGTGTCTCCCCAGTGCAGTGCAGCAGTGGTCCTGTTACACAACTAAGCAGGCTTCATAAAAGCTGCACACGGGGACGCGGTATTTATTAAGGTTATTGTGTTACATCGCGTTACATCATAGAGCTGTTTCTGTGTTTCCGGTCACTCAGTCTGCATGCCCTCTAATGATGGATGGTGTGAGAGAGCATATTTGTCCTCTAAGCCCTTTGCCACCATTAGAGCAGGTGTGAGTATATATAGCCGGGGATACTCCATCTAACAGACTCGTAACACGGTGGTTGAACCGTGTGCGACGGTCCTGACCTGTGGCCTTTAAAGAAGTGGATAAAGCAGGCTTCTCCTTTCTGTTTGCGGTTGAGAGTCACAGGGATTCTAAGTGTCCCTGCAGTTACGTCTGTTTCAAACGTCTCTACTGGCTAATGTATATATAACTCTATGGTTTGTGAGAAGTTTTGTTTAGGAAGCTTACCGGTAATGTGTTCTTTGTATGTTCTGGAGGATTTTTCTAACAACTTCTGTTTGATTTTGTCTGAGATTTCACATCCATAGGTCTAAATACCTTTCAACCTCCCCGGATCGTTAACAGTCAAGAAGTCCATGCTTTTGTTTCCTTTTCTCATGATCTGTTACGGCTTTCTTTATTCATACCAGATGTCTGTCCACCCACCTGTAGCTGTCTGAACTTAGCTGCTGATCTTTTGACCATTTCTAGAAGACAAGAACACATTATCCTCTCTCTCTCGTCTCTCATCTCAGCCGCTTGTGACTTTTGCAATGAATTTTGAGACTTTATTGACACGTTTAAAGGCACCGTGTGGTTTGGCTTCCTGATGTGCCAAAGCACAGGATGAAATTTATCTTCTGGTTGTTTCAGTAACTCATGTTGGTACCAGTGTAACTGAGACTCATCAGTCTGGGTCAATATTCATTATGAAGGAAGTTTTAAAACTTGTTTGTCTAGAATATTGTTCATAGCTTGATCAGATCGTGGCATTTTTACTTTTTTAGACTTTGCTTTTGCTTTTATTGTCTAATTT